CTGTGACTCAAGGCCCCTGCCCCCACCGGGGACAGGATGTGTCCCGTCAGCCTGGGAAGGGGGGGCATTGGGCAGGGAGGTGGCCTCTGCTCGTGGCTCCACACGTGGCAGGGTGGGGGATGGCAAACATCACTGGGGAGGCTGTCAGGGCCCAGACTTCAGGCGGGCAGAAGCTCTGATCAACCTCTCCAGGACACCGGGGACCCCCATCTCCCTGCCCCTCAACTAAATCCAGACTCCGTCACCCACCCTGAGAGGACTGTCAGGCCCCACCCACCCCAACCAGAAATCCCGACGCCCCAGACCAGCAAATGTGCCCAGACTCTGCATAGGTGCCTAAGTTATAGGAGCCACTGTGAGACACATCCACCTTCCTCAGCCCAAAGCTCCCCTCCTCCAGGGACACTTCCCTGCTTCTCACGGCACACAGTCACAGGATCAGGGGGCTCACCCAAGGCCATCTCCAGAGACACAGCCTCCCCTCCCTTTAAATCCTTCATGGCCCCTGCTCCATCACCTCCAGCTCCGACATCTACTCTGTCCCACAGGTACAGCCTCCAGGCCTCAGCCCATGGGTCCCCTTTGCCGGTATCTGTTCTGCTCCCTCACACACACTCGGGATCCCTTGTCAAGGCTCAGCTCAAAGGACACCACTTCCACGACGACCCCCTGACCACCCTCCGGTCCTCAGAGATCCGACGCTCCCAGATCGCAGGCGCCCGACTCTTCAGAGCCTGGCCTGGGACGGGTGCAGCCAGCCCCATCCCGCACCCCCTCGCAGCCCCTCCCCCGGGAAGAAGGCAGGAGGGACAGGGGCGAAGCGGACCGAAGCGGCGCTGGGGGTTGGAGCGGCCGGCTGAGCCCGCCACCCGCCGGGTCACTCGCACCGCGCCCTCCCGCCGTCAGGGATAAGGGCAACTACCGGGCCGGGACCGTTACTGTGCGGGCGATCGGGCTGGGCGGCGACTCCGAGGGTCCTCCAAAGTCAGCGCAAAGACCCCCGGGTGTCCACGGGCAGCGGCTCCAGGTGGAGAGACCCTCCCCCCTTCCTGGTGCCCACTGGCCGCCGGTCAGCCGCTCTCCTCGCCCGCAGCAGGGTCGCCGCGCCCCGGCCCGGCCCGCAACTTGTTGCTGAGACTCGGCTCGGGCTCTGCGCTCGGGGCCTGAAATTCGCGCCGGGTCGGCTTGGGCCTGGGCCCGGCTCGGGCGCGCGGGCAGCGGGACCCGGACTGCATCCCCGCCGGGGGCGCTATACCTGCGGGCAGTCAGCTCGTCGCGCAGCTGTCAGTCATGCGGACACGAGAAACGCGAACGCCGCCGCCGGGCCCTTACGGCCCCGCCCGGACGCCGTAAGCCGGGATGTACCAAAGTGGCAGGTGGGGGACGCCGCCTGCTCCTGCCGCGGCCGCACGGGCCTCGGAAACTCGTCGCGGAGGGAAGCGGACGGCAATGGCATCAGGGAGAGCGGACGGCCGGGCACCCCCCGCGCCGTGGGCGCGTCCGGGGCGGGGTCGGAGCCGAGGGCGGAAGCGCCGCAGGATCCAGGAGTTTGGCCGCTGGCTGCTCCGCTGCCGCCATGATCATCCCGGTGCGCTGCTTCACGTGCGGCAAGATCGTGGGTAACAAGTGGGAGGCCTACCTGGGGCTGCTGCAGGCCGAGTACACCGAGGGGTGAGGCGCCGGGCCGGCCTGGGAGGGCCTCCAGCGTGGTCGGGAAGCGCTCCCCGGGCCGCCAGCCTGCGGGGCAGGGGGGACGGGTCCCGGCCCGCGGGGTCGGTGTGTCGGGCCGGTGTCGGGGGGGTCCCAGTCTGCAGGGAGGGGGCGGGGGCTACTCACATCAGATTCCAGGTGACCCTGGGCGGGGGAGCTTTCAGTCTCGGAGTCTTTTCCATCCCTGTTCTCCGGACCTGCTCTCAGGAAAGCGCCCGCCCCCGCCCCCTTAGTTTGGGGAGGGGAGGGCGTCGGGCGTTAAGCTGCTGCCGTCTGGGGACTCCTAGGTACCCTGGCGAGTCTCGCCGCCTCCACGGCAAATAAGCGCTCAGCCGCCTCTGTCCACCTGCTCCCTAACGTCTTCTCCCCGCTGTTAGGCCCACCCCCGTGTCCTGCAGACTCACTGGCTCTTTTAGGACATAGGACAAGCTTCCTGACCACATAGGCCTCATCATCAGGCTATTATGGGGGTCCCTCTTCTGTGCTTACTTACCCCTTAGCACTGCACTTACCACCGTGCCTGTCTGAGTCTCTACCCTGGACTAGAGTCTGACCTCGGGCCCCTGTGTGGACAGCCCCATCCTCATCACATTTGAACCTCTGGGTCCCGGGATGTGCCAGGGAGGCGTAGGCTCTTAGTGCAAGTGTGTCGGATGAATGGGGAAGGGATAGATGGCCTTAGTATTTGCGCCAGGTTCCGAGGAGGCTGCTGAAATGACCAGAGTGCAAGTGAATGCTGGCAGCCTGCACAGGACCCCTCCCCAGGATGCCTCAAGCAGGGGCCACCCGACCTGGCCTCCCCTTTCCCAAGCCACCGCATTATCTGCACACCAGAGGCCTTGAGGGTGACGGGCGGCGTCTCTGGGAAATGAGAGAGGTGTCTCCCTCCCCGACATGGGGAGCAGGAGCAGAGCCCGTGGCAGCTGAGCAGGGCTTGCTCCAGCCAGGGCAAGGTCCTCCATCTGCCAGGACAAACAGGCTGCAGCCAGCTTTCTCCTCGCCTTCAGGGACGCCCTGGATGCGCTGGGCCTGAAGCGCTACTGCTGCCGCCGCATGCTGCTGGCCCATGTGGACCTGATCGAGAAGCTGCTCAACTACGCACCCCTGGAGAAGTGACCCCGGCCCGGCAGGCCGCGTCTCGCCCACGGCTCGTTCCCTGGAGGTGTGGGGAGCTGGAAGCAAGGCCCGCCCACCCGTGGCCCTGTTGGCATGGGTCTCCCTCTCTGGAAAGAACCATCCAGTAAATGTTTTTGAGGACCACAAGGAGGTCCTCACAGTTGGCCTGGCTCCGTGAGACTCCCCGCCGCCCGCTCCCGTGTCCTTCCTGGAGCATGAGGCCGCTTGGGGGTGGGTGCGGCCCTCACTGTCTGGGAGGAGGGAGGGCCATCCCCAGGGAAGCGCTCAGCCTGGGGCTGCTTTCCTCCAGGGCTTGCACTCAGCTCCACACAAGGCACAGATGTCGGGAGTGCTTGGGTTGGGGGCACGGGGGCGCTGGTGTCCCCACAGCGGTGTTCCGGGCGCCCTTTAGGCTCAGGACAGACGCCCTTACCTCTTCCTCCCCGGTGTCTAAAGAACCTTGAGGTTTTCTGAGTCCTGAGTAGAGTGCCCGCTGTGGTTACAGACACCCATCTTGACAGAACTGCTGCCAGCAGCTTCCAGGCTGCACCCAAGGCCAGCAGCCCGCTCCCCTCCACAGACAACTCTGAGATCCCCACAGCGGGTGGGAGGGGCCCTGCCGGCTGTCTGGGCTGGATGGGTTCTCCGTGCCCCAGGCACTGACGTGCCACCCTGTAAACCAGCCGGAGAGCTGCCTCTCGGGGGCCTCTGTCCTGTTGTGGCTCAGGCTGAGGCTCCGAACGGGAAGCTGCCGCCTTGGCGGGGGGTCAGGCAGGCCCTGGTGCCCTGCAGCGGGCAGAAGGCAGGGCCGTGCAGTTAGGGAGGGAGGCACCCTTCCCCGGGCACCTTCCTCAGGGCTGGCCCAGCTGCCCGGACGCCTGAAGTGGGGTCCCCTGAACGCAGGTGAGGGGACCACGGGAGGGAGATGGGGTCTGTACAGCGGTGTGAGGAGCTGGGCGGCCCCTGGGCGACAGGGCACGATGGCCACGCCCTGGCTGCCCCTCCAGGCCCAGCACCCCTTCCAGCCCCAGCTCCCACTGCCAGCACACGTCTTTCCAGACTCGCTCCTGAGACACCAGCCCCAGCACTTTCTCCCGTTCCTGATTCCTGCGCCGTGGCCAGAAGGGCCCCTGGAAACCACAAGCAGTCCCAGCTACTCCCCGAGGTCTAGCCCCACTTCCTCTGGGGCTCTGGCCACACCACCAGCTTTGCACCAGAGAACGGCTGAGGTGCTGCATCAAGGCCTGGCCCCAGCCACCTCTCCCTCGAGTCCCCTTGGCCCACAGCTGGCCCCCTGTCCTCCTCTGTTGTGGCCCTGGGTGGGGAGGATCTGTCCACTCTGCTGGACGTGACGGCCCTGGGGACCAGAACTGTCTGTGTCACCAACATAGTAAGTTAAGCCATCCACTCCACAGATGTTTATTGAGCACCTACCACACAGCAGGAGCAGTCCTAGGCATCGTCAGGCGGCAGTGAATAAAACCCGCAGGACTGCCTCCAGGGAAGAGGTGACAACAGTGAACTAGTGATGCAAGGCCTCTAGATGGTGGTGAGAGCAGCGGGAACACAGCGGGGGGAGAAGCAGAGGCTTGGCCCGGGAGAACTCTTGCTTGGTTTTCCCCAGGGGCTGGAGGTGGCTTGCTTAAGGAGAAGCCCCCGGTACCTGAGGGGCCTGAGGGCAGGCACACGGGGCTCCTCACCTGCTGCTGCCCGGCTCCCCGCTGGGCCAGCCCATTGCTGCCCAATTCGGCCCCTCCGACTGAAGCCAGGCCTCAGGGAGCAACCCGAGGCCACGACCCCGGCCCCCCCCCACCCACCCAGCCCAGCAGGCA